AACCTTCCTGAAGTTGTTTTCCTCCTATGAGCCATGCAGGCACCAATGAGTTGGAGAAGCCCCAAATCTTCATTCTTTCCCCTTATTAACTTATGTGTAACCCCCACCTCCAACTCTCCAACTATCTAATTATTTTATTTTCAACTCTCCAACTATCTTTTTTTTTTTTGAGACGGAGTTTCACTCTTGTTGACCAAGCTGGAGTGCAGTGGTGCGCTCTCGGATCACTGCGACCTCCGCCTTCCGGGTTCAAGTGATTCTTCTGCCTCAGCCTCCTGAGTAGCTGGGATTACAGGCATGCGCCACCACACCTGGCTAATTTTGTATTTTTAGTAGAGACGGGGTTTCTCCAGGTTGGTCAGGCTGGTCTCAAACTCCTGGCCTCAGGTGATCCACCCGCCTCGGCCTCCTAAAGTATTGGGATTACAGGCATGAGCCACTGTACCCAACCAACACATGTATAGTTTAAAATGTAAGTGTTTACAGTACAGTAAACTATTAACAATATAGTACTACAAACAGTATTCATATTGTTAATAGTATTATGCAGAAAAATTAAGAAGGTTGTCGGGAACATAGAGATTCTGGGTTTAGGAGTGAGCCATTTTAGATTGGCAGTTAGTGGACACCTCTTTAAATAGAGGACAACTTGAACAGAATGAAATGCTGTCAAAGAGCAAGACTGCTTTTATCTAGAGACCAGAGCTTTCCAGCCAGAGGGAACAAATTGTTCAAGGGAAGGATAAGCTACATTTTATACATCTTTCACTAAAGATGTTTGCATATTGTCTCCAAGTCTCTGTTACTGTAGATAACTAGGTTGTGTAGACAACCTAGTCCTTTGTCTCCTTATTCTTGTATGCCCATGCAGGAGTATCTGTGATTAGAGCACCAGGTGTGAAACTGCTGGGTCATAGAAGATACAGTCAGGAGTTGCTTAAGGCTGGGATACATCCTGAGAAATGGGTCATTAGGCAATTTTGTTGTTCGTTCTATGAACATCGTATGAACAAACCTAGATGGTACAGCCTATTATATACCTGGGCTATGTGGTATATAGCTTATTGCATCTAGGCTACAAGCCTGTACGGCATGTTACTGCACTGAATACTGTAAGCAGTTGCAGCAAAGTGGTATTTGTGTGTTTAAACATATCTAAACTTAGAAAGGTACTGTAAAAATACAGTGTAG